TTTTTATTTTTAAGTCTTTACTAGTTTTTAATTTTATATTTTGTTTTAATTAGTTTTTAATTGAAAAAATAATCTTAAAATTATAACTTGTCTCTCATAATCCATAAATATTGAATTTTGAAAATATAAACTTGAAAATTTTAAACCTTAACACACTAAACACTAAATCTTAAAAAATTTAAGTCATAATAAAAAAATTAAACCCTAAAACCTAACAACAAAAATCTAAACCCTATCACCTTAAATACTAGTAAATCTTAAAAAATATAAACCTTAATTGCCAAAATACTAAACTTTGAAAATTGTAAACTTTAAACTTTCTTATCACTTTAAAAATTTGAACTCTAATATTCTAATTATTGAATAAAAAATGACACCAAAATACTGAAAAAATTTAAACTATTTTTTTGGCAAGCTAGAAAAAATTTAAACCTTAAAATCCTAAATAGTAGACCGTAAAAAAATATTATTTATCTATTAAATTAAAATATTCATATTTCATTTTTTTTGACAATAATATCGTTTTTTTAGTTGGAGTTTAAAGTCAAAATCTTATAAATTCAAGTGCCTAGCATTTGTTTACCGCTTTCATCTAAATAAAAACGGAGAAGATATAAATAAATCCGACGGACGTTGCATTGCCACGTTTTCTTGGTCTTGCTCGGCCCCCTCAACCATTATTCCAAAAGAAAAGAATTGCAGAGGGTTTTTCTGCATCTTCCCCAAACTGAATCGCCCCCTGAACTCTTAGATTTGATCGCTCCAGTGGCAATTCGAAGAACAAACGCAAAGAGTTACAGTTACAGGTGCTTCCTCTATATCGCTCTCTTCATCGATGATTATTTTCCTTGTTTGGCCAAAATGAACAAAATCTTCGTCTGATTATTGTGCGTTTAAAATGGATTCTATATTTCTCTCCATAATTTTTTGAACGTTCCTTCTCTCTTGTTAGTGTAAAGGTTGTTTTTTTTTTTTTTTTCCATCAATCAGCACTAAAAACTATCAACTTTGGCTGTAAATTCGAAAAAAACATTTGAATTTGTTGGATTTTTTTTTTTCTTTCGATGATTATAGAAAGGAGTGAATTTAAATCCTTGATAAGTCTGAGCTATTTGTAATCATATTATTAGAGTTAAGTTTGGCCCTTTTCTGCTCTAGATTTGTTCACGATAATTATGTATCATTTATCATTCTTTTACTATATATGTAAGGCATAAATAGTCCTTAACCAATTCCTTGCCGTTGGTTTTAGCTAGAGACTGGAAAAATGCCTCTATATGATTGTATGCTTCTACTGAAACCTCATGTGAAGAAGGAGGCGTTGAAGGACTTGGTAGCAAGAGTGGGAAAACATGTTTACAGTAGGAATGGGGTTCTTACTGATATCAAATCATTTGGGACAGTTCAGTTGGGCTACGGTATTAAGAAGCTTGATGGAAGATACTACAAGGTGAAAAGTTTACTGCTTTTATTTTCATTGGTTTTCATTGCTTTTCTCATGTGTGTCACTCTGATAGTTTGTTCATGGGTTTTGTTTGAGGCTCAAATTAGCACTCAAAATTTGGTACATTGAGAATCTGGCTGGGGCAAGTTGATTTGAGTTTTCATTTTTTTTTTTTAGTTATACATTTCACGTTGCTAGTTTGTTTAGCTTTCATTTGAGACTCAATTTCAAATATATGCTTACAATTTGCTACATTAAGAACTGGATTTTAGTTGAATCATATATCCTAACTCCGCCCCAGTTGAAGGGGAAAGAGATAATGTGAATGGTATGTGATGGTTAGCTCTTATACGTGGTTGCTAATTTAAACATATTGTTTTGTTGAATAAAGCTTTATACTTTATTGGTTAGACTGAATCTTTATGGTATATTGCTTTGCCTTTGGGGGAGATTTCTTTGAATTTGTCTGCTCTTCTATTCATTGTTGTTAAATAATCTTTTTCTTGTTAAACTTTAATCTCTATTTGCTGTGTATAGAATTATGGTTCATGGCTTTAGGACATAGTCAGTTAATTTTAGTGATCTTCTTTTCATTTTAATATCTTTTATAAACACTTTCTCGGTCATATTTCATAAAACAGTGGTGTGGGGAAACCACGGAGTACTAAATTAGTTCTTCATCATTTTATTTCTTGAAGTTTTCAACACATTTAGTTCTTTTTTAGTGTCATTAATATTGGCCTTGAAATATGGATGGTGAAATCAGAATGGAGATCTGTTTTGCATTGTCAGAATGTAGGTAAACAAATACTTAATGCTCTTATGGTTGTCTACCACCATTGTTTTTAACACTTGACGTTGACTCCAAATTAAGGTTTTCATAGTTTATGTTTACCAACTTGGGTAAACTCTTTCTGGTGGCCAGTTGAACTTTGCTTGTATGTTAAAGTTCCGTAAGTGATGGCGTGATCTCCAACTTTATATTAGAAGTTGAAATCTTATAAGCGAGGATAAGGAACACCTGAAAAGAAAAGTATGGTGGTAATATTGAATAACTAATGATCTTGTTTTGGGTTAACATTAACTACAAATAACTATAGTATCAGTAAATAATGGAATAAACATATCTAGTTTGATAAGCATGGCCTGGATCATAGTTCTCTTATCACTTGAAGAAAGAGAAAAAAAATGAAACAAAGGGAATAACAGGGAACAAATGGCAATCCGCAGCTTCAAAGTAGGAGATCCATAATCGATGTATGCAATAGCTACATGCTCAAGATCTTTGCTTTTTATGTGTATTTTCATGCAGCCTCGAACCTATAATGAGAATGAAATCTCAAGAAGAGAGCCAATTTTACCCTTTAAGAGCTTAATTTTGAATTGAATGATTTTTGGAATATGTATTGTGTAATCATCATAAATCAAATTCAAGTAGCTGTACTTTTTGAAGTGTATCTAAAGATTTAGTTGTCAGGAATTGTATTATGATGCTATGTGGTCTTATTAATGTTAGACTTGTTTACATATTTCTGTAATATAACAATTTTGATTTTGATGAATGGATGAATCGAATGACTGTTGTTCTCTGTTGTGCATGGTGTAGGGCCAACTGATGCAGATGACTATGATGGCTACACCCAATATCAACAAGGAGCTACATTACCTGAACAAGGAAGACAGGTTGCTTCGATGGCTTCTAGTTAAACACCGGGACTCAAATTATGGGCTGGAATTCCTTCACGAAAATGAAGAAGATGAGTTCAAATTTTCTCAAGGCAGTTTATATGATGATGATAGTGACGAAGATGATGATGATGATGATCGTGCTGAATATGATGATGCAGAAGAGGCGAGCAAGGAGAACGATGGGCTATAGAATTTCTTCGTTCTTGTCTTTTGTGCTAAGGTTAAGTAGTTTGCCTTTGGATTTTGAGTTTACCATTCTCGTTCAGTTCCGACCTCAGGCACCTCGATCAGAGTTCTGTTGTTATGACTATTTTCTGATAAATAAGTTAGCTTAGTATTAGATTTGTAAAACATGAAGCTTTCATTTGTGTAATCTGAAAATTTTTGTTTGGATGGGAGGAATCTATTGATAAACATTTTTCTCTTAAAAATATGGGGTCAGTCGTGTCATTAATCAATAACAAAGCCAGCCATTGGGTAAGGAAAAAGCAGCATTCAAAAGAGGAATGAGAGATAATCTATGATATGTATATTAGTTATGCGATAAGATTAATCTTCTCATTAATTTATGAAATTAATAAATATTAACTTGTATTATAAAAAGTTAAATCGAAAATACTTAAAAAATTATGTCTTTATAATAATGTACCATCAAAAATAAAAATTAAAGCAAAATCTTCTTATTTTAAAAATTAAAATATTTTAATTTTTATCAATGAGATTATTTTTTCACTTAAAATTTTATGATATCTATTAATTTTTAAGATCTATTTCTGCACATTTAGAAATTTGAATTTAAAATCTTCCACCTCCTCCTTTCAGTATTAGAAAATCACAAAATGCTTTAATTGCCTTGGCCATAAACTGATGTCATTAATCTGCCTTTTATTTCGTTTAATTCCAGGTCTGATTAATTAAAGCATCACCATCCATCCTATTCTCAACATCCAAAAACAACCTTCTTTCTTCCTAAAAATAAGCCCCCACAATGTGCTCTACCTCTGATCTCAAGCACATTGCCTTCTTTCTTCCTCTCTCCTGCCTTTCCTCCCCTTTTCCTTCTCCTTCCTCCCTTTTATCCTGAATTTCTCTCTCTCACGGGAGGATATCACCGGAATCATCAAAGTAATTCCCGAGCACTGTCGACAGATCTTTCCAGTATGTTGGGTATCTCTAAAACAGCATCAATTAATATGGGCAAGGCCTACAAATCTCTAGTCACCAATGTCACCAAATGGTGCCCTGATAATCATAAAGCTCTATACCACAAAACGGAAGAGGAAAGAAAGATAAAAGATCGCGACAAGGCACATAAGGTACATATAGATCCATGCAAATTCATGCAAAAAATATTCCGTAAGACATTTTTCTTGTTTCATATTATACTTTTCAATCTTTCAGGGAAGGACAAAAGGGAACCCCTTTCGGTTTTTTTAGAATGTAAAGATTTATGGTTCTCTGTTCTTCCCATTTTAGGCCGCAAATGGAAAGAAGCAAATGGAGAAATCTGAAAATGATGAGGATTCGATAAGAAGTGCAGATGGTGATCGGAGCATCGACGAAAACTTCTTTTCACGTCCGTTTTCTCTTGCAAAGAGCTTAAGTAGGAGAAGCCGAACACCTTCGGCTAGATCGTCTTCCTCTGGCCCTCTGTCAAAGAGCCAGAGCAGGGATAGCCTGGGAGAATCTGATAGCCATGGTTTATCAGGAAGCGAGAGTCGAAACTCCCCTTCCTCTTTTTTAAGAAGCAATAGTCAGAGAAGCAAGTCAGTAATTCAAAGGAGGCCATCAGAAGAAATAGAAATACCCAGCTTGTCGAGAAGAACGAGCAGGAGTGCTAATCTTATTAAGTTCTCTCACTCCATAGCACGGAGGAGACCTCCACCAGTCGAGAAAAAGCTTGATTGTACGCTGGAGGAGCTGTGCTTTGGTGGCGTTAAAAGGATCAAGATCACTAAAGATGTCGTCTCAAAAGAAGGGTTGGTTTCTTGAACTAGAAATGGTTTTTCTGAAGATTTAACTTGTTATACTGATGAGATTATTTTTGAGCAGGTTTATTCTGCAGGAAGGTGAGACATTGATAATAAAGTTGAAACCAGGATGGAAGAAAGGAACAAAGGTTACCTTTGAAGGGAAGGGCGACGAGAAACCAGGATACCTCCCTGCAGATATCATCTTTGTGATAGAAGAACAGAGGCATCCCCTGTTCCGGAGAAAAGCTGATGATTTGGAGATTGCGGTGGAGATCCCTTTAGTCATGGCTCTCACAGGCTGCTCACTGTCAGTGCCTCTGTTGGGAGGAGAAAAGATAAGCTTGTCCATAGAAGACATCATTTATCCAGGATACAAGAAGGTCATCCAAGGCCAAGGCATGACCAATGCCAAAGGGAGAAGAGGTGACCTGAGAGCTACTTTTCTTGTCCAATTTCCAGCAGAGTTGACTGATCAGCAGCGTTCTGAAGTTTATACCATCTTGCAGGATTGTACTTATGATTAGCACGAGCATTTACAGTCACTAACATTACAAGAGTTAGATATCTTTCATGCAATTCAATTTAAACTATTTGCATTGCCTGTTTAGATTCTTTAGAAGATGAGTGAGGCTTTTTAGTAGAAAATAGAAATGACAAAACATTGAGTGCACTAGAAGCTCATTCTTTCATCTACATGACCACTGTGAGTCAAGGGCTGGAGCTCTTCGGTGGAGGGCATTGCCTGGAAAGAAAAGGAACTTCCACAACTGTACCAACTACCTCGTCTCCAACAATCACAG